TTGCAAATGGTAATTCAATCTCTACGATCAACACCCTTGGTGCAAAAATAGCTGTTCCCAATATTCAAACTGTTATTAACCAAATTTCACGCTTTGCCTTGAAATTGGACGGTTCAAATGAAATGACTGGTGTTCTCAAGATGGGTGGAAATGAAATTGAAAATATTGGAGCTCCTAGTGCTGATACATCTGCTGTTAACAACAAGTGGGTAGAAGATAAGATTAGCGGTGGTAGAAGAAGGCGTGAGACTTACAGCGGTCTTACGCTATCTGACGACCTTGACATGAATAATAATGAAATAATAAAATTAAGTGCTCCTACAACTGATAATTCTGCTGTTTCCAAAAAATGGGTCACCGATCACGTTAGTGGGAGTTCAATTAGTAGTAGCGGCTTCACTATGACAGGTAATATTGACATGGGGGGTTATAGTATTACAGGTCTCAAAGGTGGATCAGTTGGGGATACCGCTGCACTTTCCGCTAATACTATATACTCCTGGTGTAAACAGTTCCTGAAGCGTAATGGTGGTACTCTAGATAGTGATCTTGATGTTAACGACTATGAGTTAACTAGGGTAGGTAATCCAACAACTAACGGTTCTGCTGTAAATAAGAAATGGGCAACTGACGAGTTCATGAGTAGTAGAGGTGGACTGGTAAAGGGTGATTTGGATATGGGAGATTCAAGTGGTATTCTTGATCTAAGGGATCCGGTAAATGATAAGGATGCAGTTAACAAGCAATGGGTAGAAAAGAATTTCCTAAAACCTTCCTCAGGTCTAACCCAAGCAACGGCTGATACTAGATATGTAAGGAAAAATCACCATATCTATTCAGAGTGGATCTGGGGTTATCGTGGTGTATCAGTTGCAGCAACAAGGTACTATGCTTACTGTCAAGATCAAATTCCACCTTCATGGAGAACAGATACTATTAATAATATGACAGACCTCAACCTTGAGTCAATTACTATTAAATCAGATTTCCCACTTCTTTCAACTGTTACTAACATACCCCTAGGACTCATCCTGTGGGCTACTGTATGGGAAAAGCAGTCTAATGGAAAATTTACACAAGCTAAAAAGGAAATCGTCCTTAGTACAATCGACTTAAGAAGGCTATCATACACTTACTTCAACGGAACTTACACAAGTAATGGTGGAAGTACAGCTTGCTATGTCTTCAAGGGTAATAGTATGTTCTATTTAGGAAACCAGGCTGAGTTGGTAGATAACACGCTAGCCTGGTGTATTATAGTTAAACCGGAACACTCAATGCCAACTGGTTCGAGTATGGACTTGTCTTTTTGCTGGTCATTGCGGTATTTAGGGTCAGGTGGATAACATGTGTTGTATCATAAAGTATCATGTCAAAGTGGCGCTCATGCTTCTCCTGTTTGGGTAATATCTGTGGCTGTCGTAGGAGGTCTAACAAAAATGGGAAGGTTGGTGATATAAATTTCTCTGTATCCAATGATATTAAGGTTGAGGTGACCACACAGGGTAAAAAGGATGACGCCAACAGTGTATCCGGACTACAAGGCCCCCCTGCCTTGTGTACCCCCAAGGAGAAAATAAAAGTTGTCGAAGAGGCTTTGAAACAGGAAAATTAAACGATATTGGAAAAGTGTAGGATTGCACTTAGGATAATCGTATTAGAGTCTCAGCTGGACTGGTAAGGTGATCCCGAAGCTTTGAGATAAGTTAAATGAAAAATAAGAATAGCAGTTCACATTCCAATTAAATGGACCATGGAACTGCTGAAGACTCGGGAACCCACTCGTTGAGGTGTGGGACCATTAATTTTAATATAATAAAAATAAATTATTAATTTTAATATAATAATTAATTTTTACTAAAGGTAAAAAACTAGTGGTCTAGAAAAAAACTGGTGGTCTAGAAAAAAAACTAGTGGTCTAGAATCGGTAGATCCTATACTACTCTCGGAATTTTGGAAAAATTTTCATTTTTTTTTCCAACCTCGGAATTTTGAAAAAAATTTCATTTTTTTTTCCAACCTCGGAATTTTGAAAAAATTTTCCCTTTTTTTTTCCAACCTCCGAATTTTGAAAAAATTTTCATTTTTTTTTTCCAACCTCGCAATTTTGAAAAAATTTTCATTTTTTTTTCCAGCCTCGGAATTTTGAAAACATTTTCATTTTTTTTTTCCAACCTCGGAATTTTGAAAAAAATTTTCATTTTTTTTTTCCTACCTCGTAATTTTGAAAAAATTTTCATTTTTTGTTTCCAACCTCGGAATTTTGAAAAAATTTTCATTTTTTTTTTCCAACCTCGGAATTTTGAAAAAAATTTCATTTTTTTTCCAACCTCGGAATTTTGAAAAAAATTTCTTTTTTTTTTCCAACCTCGGAATTTTGAAAAAAAATTCATTTTTTTTCCAATCTCGGAATTTTGAAAAAAATTTCATTTTTTTTTTCCAACCTCGGAATTTTGAAAAAATTTTCATTCTTTTTTTTCCCTCGGAATTTTGAAAAAGTTTTCATTTTTTTTCCAACCTCGGAATTTTGAAAAAATTTTCATTTTTTTTTTCCAACCTCGGAATTTTGAAAAGTTTTCATTTTTTTTCCAACCTCGGAATTTTGAAAAAATTTTCATTTTTTTTTTCCAACCTCGGAATTTTGAAAAAGTTTTCATTTTTTTTCCAACCTCGGAATTTTGAAAAAATTCACGCCTGGCATTTTTGCACGCGAAATTGCACATTAAACTGTGTCAATTTTTTTCGTTACCGTGCGACAAATTTGGGAGCTTGGTAGCGAATTTGATAATTGAAAAATACCTCAAATTCAACGAGCGCATGCTTGTGCGCGTTTTGTTTGAGGGTTATTTAAGGTAAACAGGGAGACAGAGCGTGTCTAGGGGATCAAAATGATATCTAGATTACCATGGTTACGGGGAATGTTTTGCTACAGGAGCGCTTGCTGTTCGGGGCATTTAAGAGAAATGGCGCCTTTCGAACGAAGTTGTCAAAATTCAACAACTTCGGCTTGTATAGGATTCTTTCTAAAGTGTTATTTTCATTTTATTTTTGAATCCTATACAAGTCAAGATACGTATTAAAATTCGTATGTTTTTTGTTTTTGACAAAATGTGCTAAAAACGTTTAAAAATATCAAACATTTTGGGCACCTCGAAGGCCACTACGTATAAAAGTTTTAATGTGGGAGAATACATGAAAAGTCAGAGGTTGGGCTGGTTTGCGGTTGAGGAAAAGAATAGAACGGCAAAAACTACATCGCAGAAGATCAAGCGATTAGATGAGAAGGTAAGATACGTTTATATTTCTGTATTTCTTGTTAGTCTTGTAATCGATCGAGTTTCTGATTTTATAGTATGGCCTTTGAACTAGTTCAAATATATATGTATACTTGCATCTTGATCGCGCTAGAGATCGTGTTTAATGTTGTGATGCTGATAAATTGTTGGCGAATTGTGCGTTTAAGATTCTTTGCAGTTTTCAAATATATTCCCTTCACACTAGCTAATGGTGCCTTTTATATCACATTTAAATTGATAATAAATAATTATTTATCAACTCTACAGTATATTAAAGCCAACACTTCAAGGTTAATATAGTTTTTTGAAGCAAAATTCATGAACACCCAAAAAATAAGATGCGAACAGTGCATGGTATATTATGATACTTCTCGACAGGTATTCATCTTCAGATAATACAATGAAATTTATAGGTGTATCCCATCATTCCAGAAAACATCCATGTACCACCCCCATGGAGGAAATAGGAAGTTAACCCCCCTACCCCCTTCGGATGTCCTAATACATTTACTATTATCAGAAACAATTTTTTCTCCCCTCCCCCCTCTGGACGGCAGAAATTTCCTCCGCGGGGGGAGTATGGATCTTTTCTGGAACAACCCATTAGCTATTAATCTCATTTTGCCCCTGGATTTGCTGGTCATTTAGGGACCGATTACATGGAACATTTTCAACCCCGGGATTGAACTCAGTCCTGTTTACCGGGTTGAAATGTCTGTAATACAAAACTCTATCAAAAACAAATGCACGATTACATGACAAAATTGTCAACCCATGGCTGAGTTCAACCACGGGGTTGAAATCTCAACCCTGCTTTAGCTAGTAGGGATGAAATTTCAACCTCGGGGTTAAACTCAGCCCTGGGTTGAAAATTTTGTCATATCATGACTTATTCGAGCATGCGTGGTAGTGACTATTTACTGTAAACCTCCGACTATAAGCTCTGGGCTTATATACTTTTGGGCTTATACAAAGGAGGGGGTGGGGGCTTATATACGGATGGGCTTATACATGGACGATCTTTTGTGTTAGTAATAAACAAGGCAGACATAAACAGTAATAAACAAGTCAGACATAAACAAGTCAGTCATAAACAGGGAAATAAACATGTATTAAGCAGCGATTACTGGGCTTATATTAATTGGGGAACTTATATTGGGGGGGGGGGGGGCAAATTTTGGGGGGGGCTTATATTTGGAATGATGTGAGCGTTAGTACATGTGGTGGGCTTATACACGGGGGGCTTATATTCGGCGGGGGAGGGGGCTTATAGTCGCATGTTTATGATATTACAGAAAACAAAATGGGTCATTCCAGAAAAGATCCACACTCCCCCCACAGAGGAAATTTCTGCCGTCCAGAGGGGGAGGGGATTGTGTCTGATAATAGGAAATGTATTAGGAAATCCGAAGGGAGTATAGGGGGGTTAACTTCCAATTTCCTCTGCGGGGGTGGTATGGATGTTTTCTGGAATGACCCAATGAAGGTTTTTTATACTTCGGGGAATCGATTTCCGAGAACGTATAGTATAGTGTTTCAACCCGGGGTTAAAATCGTCCATGTAATTGCAATGGATTTCAACCCTGGGTTGATAATTCTCCATGTAATTGGCCCTTTGCCGCAGCCCTATGGAATTTTACTTAATGACCCAAATTGGGTGGGCAGTTAATACACTGGAATATAATTGCTAATACACCAAAATTCATGGTATATCATAGTGTCTTAAGGAGTTTACTGTCATCTATATGTATATATATATATATATATATATATATATATATATATATATATAAATTATTATTAAATTAAACTGTTACCCTTCAATACAATCAGGAAAGTCCGAAATGTTGATATTATTTTAACCCATTGAGTGGCAGCACTCTCCACTTGATGAGTAAGATTGTCTGGCGTTAGACAGAGTAAAGTACTCTGGCGTTAGACACTCTGGCATTAGACAGAGTAAAATACTAAAGTAAGACGCATCAAGATGCATTGCCACTTAAAGGGTTAAAATCCATCTTAAATTCTGGGGATGGTTGTCTTCATGATCCAAACAATTTTTATAATATATGTAGGTAAAGAAGTTAGTGAATGAAGCAGAGGAGTTAGATAGCATCAGGGAAGAATTGATAGAGGATAGTAGGCAGGAAGCAGAATTTAAGATTAGCAAGAAAGCAGTAGACAGGCGGAGAAGTAAGCCAACAGGGGAAGGAAGTTGTGTGGAGTCGACAGGTAGAAAGCGCAGAAGGGAGACGATGGCAGTGGTTAGTGCTATACATGGAGGAAGCAAAGAAAACTTGAAGCCAGGGGCGATTGGAATGTTGGAGACATTAAATAAGAAATGCAAGGAAGATGATATTGTAGATGGAATGAGAAGCTGTAAAAAGTTTGCAGAGAAAGTGTTCCCAAGATTATACAAAGAAGATTTAAAGAAGTTTGAAAGTTCAACTGACAATATGTTGAGATCTATTGCTGTATATTATAGTAAGGGTATAAGGGGTAAAGATAAGTATAGGAAAATATATAAAGCTAGTTCGTATAAGCAGGGACCAGGCAAGCGGGCTGCGCGTATTAAGGTTGCCAACTGCCCCTCTCCTCGGCTGGTTCCCTACCACAGGCTAATGGCATATATAAAATCCATTGATATTGGTCAGTTGCACAGTGTCTGTGAGAATTTTTGTGAAGGGTTGGATGAATGTGATAAGATTAATGGCTGTTATAGGGACATTGAAGATCTTCTAATGAAGTTGGCTGGATTTTATCTAAATCATGGTAAGTATGATATCCTAATATTTGACCAGCCTAATACTTTTCATGTTGCTTTGGGTGGAGATGGTGCCCCTTTTGGAAGGGATGACTCGGCGTGTTCATGGCTTGTTAGTTTTCTCAACATCGGCCATGGTGTGTTGAGTAGCAACGAGAATTTTCTTCTTTTTGGAGCTAATTGTGCGGAGAACTGTTTGCCTGTTAAGCGTTTCTTGGGTAAGTTGATCACTGACATTGAACGAATTCAGCGCTCCTCATACTCTATTGTAGTTAAGGGAGAAAGCATTGATGTTAAATTTGTGTTTGCAGAACTGCCAAATGATATGAAAATGCTTGCTTTCTTAGCTGGGGAGCTGACTAACAGTGCAACATACTTTTCCACTTTTGCAGATGTAAACCAGGAGTCTCTGACTAAACTTGGAACATTTGGCCACAATGCATCAGATACTTGGAAGCCGTGGAAGTTCTGTGATAGGATGAAAGTGGTCAAAGAAGTCGAAAAATTTAAAAAGAAGATAGCCACCAAAAATGTTTCAGCCAAAACTAAAAGATCAAATGTTACAACATTCATTGCCAAGCAGAAAAGCCGACAAGAATTTGTACCTTTGGTCTCAGAATTGATTGACAGAGCACATGTTGAACCGCTTCATTTAAAAAATAACGCATGTGCTTTAGCACATCGTTATATTTTAAATCAAGCGATTGAAATGTCGAAACCTAATTTACCAACTTCTTTTTCTCAGGTTCCACCAAAAACTCCACTTTTCAAGTTCATCGATGCTTTAAGATCTAAGTGCAGTTTGAATAGACTGGCGAAGAGGATCATCAGGTGGTATGACGAGAATGCTGTGACTGACGCCAGTACGTTCACCTATCGATTTACAGGTAAGGATTCACGAATGTTTTTACATAATTTTATGTTTCTCATCGATGTACTTGAAAATGGTGTTTCCGGTAAGGCTAGTGAATTGCTCCACGTTCATGCTTATCTTTGTCTTTGCTTGCGAAATGCCGTTTCTTTGTTCAGTCGTGTGAACATTACAGACGAGCAAGTACGAGAATTAAAGCAACACTGTACTAACTTTTATCGTGGTTACTGGTTGTTCTTCAAGGTTAATCCTATTGTCTGGACCCTGGGTTGTGTTGTTCCAGCTCACACCCAGGAAATGAAGCAATGTTATGGTTTGGGCCTAGGTTTGAATTCCATGGAGGGTAGGGAGGCCAAGCATATCGCAATATCAAAGTATTGTTTAAATACGGTATATGCACACCGATGGGAACAGGTTTTCCATCATAATATATTTCCCTGATTTGGCTGCGGGCCCATGGTTATACTAACGTCAGTGTTAATAATTCTACAGGAAATACTCTCTCATATTCTCCAAAACGCGTCAGCAGTAAAGACCCCAACTATTGTGTTTGTGGCTTGCAAAAGCTAGCATCTGTGGACTTGTGTAGATTTTGTGACCATGAACTGAGGAAAAAGATCGAGAACAGCATCGAAAAAGGTAAATCTATTCTACAGAATCTTAGTTAGTTTCCCGAAATATCTCGAGAGGCAAATTTGAGCATTTCAAGCGAAGATCATATGATAGTGGTACATGGTTCATTTGCTTAGCTGTTTCTATCATGTGATCGTTTTTTGGTTTCACTGCTTATGAGACCACATGCACCGTGTTTTCTTTACTACTCGAAACGTTCAAATTTGCCTCGCTGATTCAAGGACAGATCTGCCAACTTCTAAAACCTTTAAATCCCAAAAATGTACATGAATAAACCTTGAGATTTGGATTTTAAACCATCAGATTTACAAAATTGTTTGAAAACGCGTGTACATGCACACACACGCAGAAACTCGATTTTCATGGCCATAAGCTTGAGCTGTAGTTCACGCACGCAAGATGGACAAAAGAGGGACACAAACCGTATTATAATGAGGTAAAAACGGTGATAACCCAACACTGAACACGCAAGTTTCATTCTTGACTGTATTTGATTTTTGTAAATGTGAATTTATTGCATGAGAAGTTATTGTTAAAAACC